CTCAGCCTCCTGAATAGCTAGGATTACAGACATGAGCCACCATTGCTGGGCCTAAGCTGGTATTTTCTTTTCACCCCATCCTCCTCACTTACTCTCTGTGTGGCAGAAATTCTTCAAAGTCTGAGTCGGAGGCATGGCACAAGTGGTAGAATACTAGTTATGAGTGAAAAAAACTAAGCAAGAGTGAGAGACCCTAAATTCAAGCCCTAGTACTGGTACAAACAAAAAGAAAGGAATTTGTAAGTCTAAACCATGTAGAGAGTACCCTTTCCTAGTTTCCACTGTTGATGTCAGACTTTTTTCATTGTTTCAATGATTCTTTTTGTTGAGATTTAGAAGTTAAGGTGTTTGTGTTCAAATTACCATCTTATCTGATTTGTTGTTCTTGTTCTATGTACTAGTGCTGAAGTTACAAGGTGAAATTTGTAATATATTGTTTGGCAGCAGGCATAGAATCCTTCATCATAATGATGAAGGATTTTTTTTTTTTTTTTGTCGTGGGGCTTGAACTCAGGGCCTGGGCACTGTCCCTGAGCTCTTTTATTCAAGGCTAGTATTCTCCCACTTTGAGCCACAGCTCCACTTGCTGTTTTTGAGTGGTTAATTGGAGATAAGAGTCTCATGGGGACTTTTGGGCTGGCTTAAAATTGCAATCCTCAGGTCTCAGCCTCCTGAGTAGCTAGGATTACAGGAGTGAGCCACCAGCACATAGCTTGATGCAGGATTAAGATCCCTGTCTACAGTAGAGCAACAAACTTCTGTTAAGATATTTGTTTTGTGTAAAACAAGATGGTGAGCAAAAGCAGATGGAAAAGGACCCAAGCAAGCTTCAATGCTGGGCTGAGAGGAGTCATAGGAAGCATGCCAGGATCTGGAGCTGGACTTTATTAAGTTGTTCAGAGCCTCACAGTTGTAAGCATGTAATCTGCCAGTTTTGAAGGAAGCAGTGCTATGCTGTGATAGTTCCCAAATGGAGTTAATGCCTGAATATTTTAAAAATCATCTACAAGCCAGGTAACAGTGGCTCATGCCTGTAATCCTAGGTACTCAGGAGGATCAGATCTGAAGATCAAGGTTTGAGGCCAGCCCAGGCAAACAAATACATGAGACTCTTATCTCCAGTTAACTAGCAAAAAAGCCAAAAATAAAGTTGTGGTTCAAGTGGAAGAGTCCGTCTTGAGTGAGAGTGTGAGGCTCAGAGGGCATCATGCACAGTGCTGGCACAAACATATACATATATCATCTACGAAGTGTTTGGTTCAAAGTAGATGACAGCATGAGTGGTATCCTGATGAAGTGAATGCAGCAGAAAAGCAATATCATTTGAAAGCCCTGCTGTATCACTAGATTAAAAAAATCTGAACTAGATTAAATGAAAATCTTAAAGAAAAAAAAGTAATTACAGACATACATATTGGAATTATGACATAAGATAGATTCAGTGAGTGGGTGACACACGTCTGACTGTGGTTAGTGGGAAGTACTGCCTCTTGCTAGTTATAGGCTTCTCCTATTGGTGTTCATGCCCCAGGGTACCTGGCCTCCTGTCTGATGTTCTTAGGTTACTAGTTGCTATCTCCTACAAGCATATTCTTGCATAAAAATAACAGCACTGAGATAAATATTGATAGTTTTTTCCCTATGTATACTTAAAATAAAATTTCAGGAGAAAACAGAACTTTTGGATGCTTCTCACAGTATCTTTGTGCATTATAGTTAATTTGGCAAAAGCATAGCCAAATAGAGGTAGATTGCCATCTCAGATTTACCATATATGAACTTTCTTATGGATTAAAGGATAAAAACATAGATTTGTGTAGAAAAGTAAGTTAGGTGTTTTTGTCTTCCCAGCATAAGGTATAAGCATATACATTTATTTTGCTGAAATTACTAGTTATTTCAGTTTATATGTATGTATAGGTAGAAAAACATATTTCATTACTATTTTAAACATGGCTCCTAAACATTTCATGGCTCCTAGGCCATTTCATCTAAGGAAAGAACAAACCATTAACTACTGTAGAGAAACAGATACATTAGACTCAGTGAGAGATGGCATGTTTGTACTTATTCATATTTACAAAATCACGCAAGCTGTGCTTTTGGGATTTGGAAGGCATTTATGACTACACAAATTATTTGTGTTTTCAAGTTGAACTTTAGAGCTTACCATCATGAGCCTTAAAAGATTGTAGTGAGCCTTGAATGATATTTAACCACTAGTGATAACTTGCCATTTTTCCTCTATTTAATGATTTTGCTAAGATATACCTGGCTGCGTCCTTAGATATTTCTTAATGCTCTTTATAGAATACAGTTCCTATCGATTCTGGGAACAGAAGAAATGTAGTAGTTCATTTAATGCTGGAACTATAACAATTCTAAGACAGTTTGGGATAAGGAATTTGAGCTTTAATATTCACAAACTAAAGTGTGAATTAAGTATCTCTTACCTGAAATGCTAGGAACAGAAGATTTTATTTACTATTTGCATGTACACAATTAGATTCTTGGAGGAGGGGACCCAGTCTTGTCCAGAATTTATTGATGTTTTATATATATTTTGTAGACATTGCCTGAAGGTAATTTAATTTTCAGTTCACATGTGTTTTACCTGCTACTTGTCACATAAGTCAAGTATGGAGTTTTTCACTTGTAGCAGCATATCTGTATTCAAAAACTTTCAGGCTTTGGATATTTTCTGATTAGGATGCTCAACCTGTACCAGTAGCATTCCTAATTGGTTTGTAATGTTTCTTCAATTCATCCTTGGTTTTGTGATTATAAACATCCATACACAAAGTTATATAATATGGTAGGTAGATATGGGTGTAGTATGTATTTATTTTGTGGTATTAGTGATTGAACAGAGGCTTTACACTTGCTAGGAAGGCATTGTAGTAGCTGAGCTATGCCCCCAGATATATGGTGGGTATTACTGGTTATTTCTTTTCTCTGCTTGAATAACTTCTTACTTTCTTCTTGCTGTCTTTTACTGTTCTAGCCAAGCAGAATGATTGATCAATTAAATATTATATATGAATAGCTGAAGGCAGGAGTTCTAGAAAATGCTTCTTATAGCCTTGCTGTTTTCTTCTGGTCTAATATTTAATATTTGATGCTTCACATCACAGAGAAACTTAGATAACTAAATGGAATGATTATAGGATATAGGATCCTGCATTCTAATACATTAACAAGTAATGAAATTTAAACTATTTTAAAATTATCTTCTTTGGAAACCCTTTGGTTCCAGATCGTTTAAATGGACTGGTAAGAAAGTGTTCCAGTTTGTTAAAGTCCTTCTTGAGAATAACTGGGACAGAATTGAAAGGAATTCCTTTCTACTCAGACCTAACCTGGTTTCTTCCTCTTTCTGTATATAGTTATCATCTTGCTTTTGTTTGTTTTGTTTTTGAGACAGTCTCATCATGTTGCCCAGCTGGCCTTGAACTCCTGGGCTCTCGTGATCTTCCTGCCTCAGCCTCCAGGTATTTGAGTTCACAGGTTTTGCCATCCGAATCACACTGTGTAACCAAAGGGGGAAATACAAAAACCAACTCTTTCCAGCAAACCTTTAAAGATTATTTTAACAAAAGAACACACAACCCTCTACAATTTCTGAAGTGCCTGATCGTTTCTTTCAAAGAGATTTTCAATGTGCTCATTCTTTCCCACTCAAACGATAGCTTTGGAGTCAAGAGTGTAGGGCAGAGAGACTTAAGTGTTTTAAATTTTGCTTCACAGAAATTTGTTCTGTTTGTGTTGACTACAGAACTTCAGAAGATAAGAAAATTAAGGACAAGTGCATTCAACTGCAGAAGCTTATGATTAATTTCAAAAAGATCAGGAAACAAATACTTTAAACTTCCACTGACCTTATTACAGTATACTGCCAGAAATATTCTGTTTGAGCTATTCTCATAAATTAGTCATCTGGAAAACCAGCTGTAGAAATAGGATATAATAAAAAGAGCAGTGATTTAGTAACCGGAAGACTGGGAGCTCTTGTTTTGGCTCATTCACAAGGAGATTAAATGACACACCAAAGTACCCTGCATGAGGAAGCCACACATGAGTAGATTAAATCAGACCATCTTCCTATGAATCTGTACTGGAATAAAAACCACACAAAGAACATACTAGAAAAATTGGGTGTGACTAGATGTTTTGCCTCATGCAGAATTACTGTTCTTACTCTCAGAGGGCAAACAACATATGAGGCCAATATCTACTGGATTGCATTTTAATTTGCTTAGGCAAAAAGGTATCCAATGGCCTGAAGAATTGTTGGGAGGGCTGAAAAAACAGACTCTCAGCTGAGCTTCCAGGAATAGCTTTCTAAAGTTACAACAACAAACTGGACCACTGGAGGACCTGCTGCCTCCACCATAACAAGAGGGTACAGACTCATTTGGATAGCTACGGTGCAGCTCCCAGCACCAGAGGCACTCTGTCCCTGCTACGGTCTATATACTACAGTCAATAATGAATGCCTCATGCCCTACTTCTTTTCCCCAACTCAGGTCCCACTCCAGTCTTTTTGATTGGTGGAACCCTAATCACATCTGAAACCTTAGATGTAGGATAATCCTGAGATTTCATTGTTCCAACCTCTGAGTCTGCTTCTTAGGGTTTGTAACACATGTGAACATACCTATACGTTGTGTTCTTTGACAGTAAGCTAAATATGTACAATAAATGACACTTTTTTTTTACATTTGCTGGTAAATTCACATACTTCTTTCTTTAGAGAGCTAAAATCAAATGATTATACTTATACTATTTCTGACCATTTCCTAAGAAAACATCTCAACAATGGAGCACTGTCCCTGCATTATTTCCTAAAGATGTAACGGACACAGAAAACAGGATTTTAAATTTAGAATTCTTCTACTTTTGTGTATTCTCTCCACATCAGTTCCACTTCCATTTGTGTCATTTATCCCCCTCTGGGGTCATCCTTCATCTTTTCAATTTGATGTGCTCTTTATGTACAGACCTGTGAATGAAGAGTCAGATTCATCGGAGGTAGATGCTGCTGGCCGGTGGCATGGTGTCTATGTCAATAGAACATCTCCAGCACCGTCGGAGTCTGCAACCACTGTAAAGTCACTGATCAAGTCATTTGACTTAGGACGCCCAGGTATTTAAATCATTGTTTTACATAAGCAAAGCTCCACATTCACATGCAGCCCTGGCATATCAAGCCTGTGGCAGAGTTCTGTCTAGATAATGCTTCAAAGCCTGGCTGAGTCTCCAACGAGGCCACAGTGGAGAATGTGGCACATAGAGAGACAAATAAAGACTCCAATCTCTCCCTACCTCTTCCCAACCCCAGTTCCTGCCTTTCTACCTTCCTTTTCTGCTGTGTGTAAGTGGGCCATTCAGTTCCCTACTGTTTGGCTTCTCCCTGTCTCCTGAAAATTTGCTGGGTCAGCCAGAGGCTTTGCTTGCTAAGAAATAAGGCACTACATCGGTGAATTTGGCCCTCTTGTAGGAATCCTGGTCACACTTACTATGCATTACACTGTGTGTTGCCAGCTTTTTCTGGAATGATCTGGCTGACTCATAATTTCCTTTTAGTTATACTTAGCTGAAATATCTGAGAAAAATGCATGTTCATGCTTTTACATGCCCACACAATGTAGTAAATAAGAGAAACACAATGTGTAACTCTTCATAATAGTAATATATTCTTTCCTTTGACTACTACAAGTGTGTTTCTAGTGGAGGACTGGAGCAATAGCTAGTCCTTAAATGTATTTAGTTGTCGCTTCTAAAACTGTTTGCAGTTAAATTTGAAATTAAGATTAGACTATACATGTGGAGAGACAGGAAAGCCCTGTGAGTCAGTTTGTGCACAAATCAACAGAAATGGCTTGTGAAAGGTCAATCTTGTTCTTTCCCCCCACCCCCCAGAGGAACTTCATTACATACACATTTCTTTTTTCTTAAGTGTCTTACATTCCAGACCAATCCTCACTCAGCTAACTCCTCCCTATAATGTCTTCAACCATAGTCCAGAGGAGAGAAGGATAATAAATGTTTTTTTTAACTGAATATTAAAGGATATTTAAGTCACCAGAAAATGTTCATAGCAAATCAAAACTATTGTTTGCACTTTTGAACTGGAATATGTTCCAACAATCGCTTTTCTTAGCAGGCGGGGCTGGGCAGAATATTTCTGTCCACAAGACCCCCAGAAGTCCCCTGAGTGGCATACCAGTGAGGACGGCTCCAGCAGCAGCAGTCTCTCCAATGCAGGTATTAGAAAGGCCCATAAGTGTATATGTGTACAAGATTATATCATCTAGAATTTTTATCTACATGTTTTCAAGTAAATACTAAGATAATGTTTTTTTTTAAACCAGGCATGTGAGCAGGTAATACCAAATGATCAAAAGCAAAGAGAAAAAATACACCCTAGATACTGATATTACTAGCAACAGATATTATAACAACAATTATTAACAAGGTTAACATGGTCAAAAATAAATGAACTGGACACCAGACTCTCCCTTCTGTAATCCTTGATACTTGGGAGGCTAGATCAGGAGGATTGTGCTTCCAGGCCAGCTTGAATATTCACATAAGGCCCCTTCTCAACCAACAGCTAGGGACCATGGCATACCTGTCATCTCAGCTTTGTGGGAGACTGAGATTGGGAGGATTAGAGTTCTTAAGACAGCTTAGGCAGGAAAGTCTAAAAGTATCTCTATGGAAGCAGTTTGGCATGGTGGTACCTATCTATTTTGACTATGGCAGGAAGCACAAAGTAGGCAGATGATGTTCCAGACATAAACTGTATATCAAAATAACCAGTGTTTCAGAGTATTAGGGGTTTACACCTATAATCCTAGTTACTCAGGAAGCTGAGAGCTGAGGACCAGTTTGAAGCCAGCCAGGGCAGCAAAATCTGTGAGACTCTTTATCTCTAATAGCCAAAAATCAGAAATGGAGGTGTGGCTAAAGTAGTAGAGGGCCAGCCTTGAGTATAAAAGCAAAGCAAGAGCATAACGCCCTGAGTTTGAGCCCTAGTACTGGTGCACAAAAAAGGTAAAATAAACAATACAAAAAAAGTGGGGGTAGGCACCAGTGACTCACATCTGTAATTTTAGCTATTGGGGAGGCTGAGATCTGAGGATCACAGTTGGAAGCCAGCCCAAGCAGGGAAGTCCACGAAACTCTTATCTTCAGTCAAGTACCAAAAAAACTGGAAGTAGAACTATGACTCAAGTGGCAGAATGCTACTCTTGAATAAAAAAGCTCAGGGAGTAGGTAGCACCCAGGCTCTAATTTGGTTGCTGTAGATGAGTTTTAACTTATTAAATTTTCCCAACATTTGGGAGTAGTAGATACTGTTGGGACCATTGCTGTGCTTTGCTAAAAAAGATAAAGTGTAGAAAATCGCATACCTCATATTCATGCAGCTGGTTGGTGGCAGTCTGTCTGCAGAGCTGTGTGCTTGCTTGCCTAGTCATGTGGCCTCTCTTTGGTTTTTGGTGTTTTTTGGGGGGTCAGTCATGGGGCTTGAACTCTGGGCCTGGGCACTGTCCCTATGCTCTTTAGCTCAAGACTAGCGCTCTACCACTTGAGCCACAGTGCCAGTTCTGGTTTTTTGGTGGTTCATTGGAGATGAGTCTCACAGAAATTCTTGCCTGGGTTGGTTTTGAACCGTGAGCCCCAGATCTCAGCCTCCTAAGTAGTTAGGATTACAGGTGTGAGCCACCGGCGCCCAGCTAAGGTGGCCTCTTGAATTGTCAAGCTAGTGGTTATAATCTAGCAAAGAGAACAGGGCAGCTATAGACCCAATGTAGCATTAATTTCAAGATATATAAGTAAACCAAACCAAATGATTAAAAATAGTGTAATGTTATAACATCTGGTTTTTTTAATAAGAACAGAGGATTTTTATGGTGATTAAAAAATTAGCAAAATCTTCAGGTGTGTGTGTGTATGTGTGTGTATGTGTGTGTGTGTGTGTGTGTGTGTGTGTGTGTGTTACTAAGGTTGAATACCTGGGGGCCTTGCATACTGGGATATTTGCTATCTTAACAGGCCTTCCATGTACAGTACAGTAATATTACCTGTAAGCATGATGTTAAATAGAAGCTCTCTAGAACTTGATGAATTTCGACTCTGTACCCATTGAACAACAGCGTGCTGTTTCCTCTAGCTAGACATTTAGGTTTTTTCCACCTCTTGCCTATTGTGAATAATGCTGAAATAAACACCGGTGGGCAAATAGCTCTTTCAGATCCTAATTTTGATTATTTTCAGTAAATACCCAAGAGTAGGATTGCTAGGTCCTGTGGAGGTTCTATTTAAAATATTAAAATTATTCTGTTTTTAAAGGAACTGTTCCATAGGGGTTTTGTCATTTTTCGTAGTACTGAGATTGAACCTAGGGCCTCAGGCATGCTAGGTAAAAGCTCTACCACTGAAGCTATGCCTCTGCCCTCTTTATTTGAAAGAGTATCACTACCTTATTGCTAGGGCTAATCAAAACTCCAGATCCTCCTACCTTCCTTTCCTGAGCAGCTGAGATTCCAAGTATGTATCACCAGAATCAGTGTTCCTTCTATTTTTAGTACTCTTTTATATTCTTATCAGCATGTCCAAGTTCTACTTCTCCATATCTTCACCAGGGCTGGTTATCTTCTGGGGTATCATGTAAGAACTTTTTGTGTGTGTGCCAGTCCTGGGGCTTAAACTCAGTGCCTGCACTGGGACTTTTCTGCCCAGGCTGGCTTTGAACCATGATCCTCAAATCTCAGCCTCCTGAGTAGCTAGGATTACAGGCATGAATCACTGGTTCCCAGCTGACTTCCATTTGTGTGTGTGTGTGTGTGTGTGTGTGTGTGTGATTAATTAAGTCTCATGGACTTCTCTGCCTAGCTAGCTTTAAACCGAGATCCTCAGATCTTAGCCTCCTGAGTTGCTAGGATTACAGGTGTGAGCCATCAGTGCCTGGTTATAAGGGGCTTTCTAATGAGAATGAAATGATTTCTCAATGTTTTTGATTTCTATTTCCCTGATTGGTGATGTCGAGCATATTTTTCATATACATATTGGCCACTAAAAACAAAAGAAAAACAGTGGGTTTTTTTTAAATACACACATGCTCAAACGTGTAAAATATTCCACAGAGGATAGTAATGAAGCCAATAATCAACATTGCTTGTGGGGGAAAGAAATGGATGATAAGGCTGGGCACTGGTGGCTCATGCCTGTAATCCTAGCTACTCAGGAGGCAGAGATCTGAGAATCGTGGTTCAAAGCCAGCCTGGGCAGGAAAATTCATGAGACTCTTATCTCCAATTAACCACTAGAAGACCAGAAGTGGCGCTGTGGCTCAAGTGGTAGAGTGCTGGCCTTGAGCTGAAGAGCTCAGGGACAGTGCCCCAGGCCCAGAGTTTAAGCCCCACGACTGACCAAAAAAAAGAAAAGGGCAATGAGAGTGAAAAGAAAACCATCTTTCTACAGTTTCCCCTTTGCGTTCCAGTAAGGATTGTGCCCCTTGCATCTTTTTTTGGGGGGGGGGGAGGGTCCGTTCGTGTGGCCTGAACTCTAGGCCTAGGCGCTGTCCCTCAGCTCTTCAGTTCAAGGCTAGTGCTCTATCACTTGAACTATAGCGCCACTTCTGGCTTTTTTCTGTTTTGCTTATGTGGTGCTGAGGAATCGAACCCAGGGCCTCAGGCATGTGAGGCAAGCGCTCTACCACTGAGCCACCTTCCCAGCCTCCTTGCATCTTTTACCTATTCAAATAAGTTATTTTAAAAGCTCTCTATGGTGATTCTGTTGTGCTTAGACCTATTGTATGTACACATGTATACACACACCTGTGTTGTGCTATTCTTGACATCACAAGTTTACCATGTACCTTTTGGTTTCCATAGAGACACTGTACATTCAGCAGCATACGGCCTACCACCAAAGGGATGACTCAACGCTTGGACCTTCCAGACCTTCCCCTCTCAGGTAAATCACTTGATATTTATTACCTAAATATTTTACTAATGTACTTGTAATGTGGTACAAAATTATTCACCCTCTATCTTTCTTTTTCCCTTCCCTTAAGCACTGTACTTTTCACTGTTTGTGTGTGTGTGTGGCACTGGCTTTTCTTATTTGTTCTGCCTAAAATTGAACTTGAAAAGTAACATGGGGCATTTATGCCAACTGATTTCAGCCCCTATGTGTGTACATTGTGGATGTCAGATCCAACTGTGCAGTGGATGAGAGGAAATCTCTCTCACTGGGTGTATTCTCAGTGTGGATGGAACAGGAGAGATGCCAAACTTGGTTGGCTTTTTTTTTTATGTACTGAATCTCAAGAGAATATTTTATAATGTTTTAAAAATAACTTTTAAGTAAATAACCTTATCCAATTTTATATTCACAATTCTTAAAATATGCCTCTCAGCATATCTGTGCCTTCTTTGAGCATAATTTTTTTCCTGTTGTTATACTGCATTCTTTTTTTTTGTGGCCTACCTATGAATCTCAGTAGCTGAAATTGCAGGCACATATCAACACACCTAACTTATTGATTGAGAAAGGCTCTCATTAACTTTTTGACTGGGCTGGCCACACTTTGTTAAGCAGCTAGGATTATGGGCATAAATGTTTTAGATTTGTTTTGTTTGAATTACTGAAAATTAAACTGAGGGCATGTGCTCTACCATTTGAGTCATGCCTCTAGCCCCCTGTTGTGTTGGTTGTTTTTTTGTTGTTGTTGGTTGTGGGACCTGAACTCTGGGCCTAGACGCTGTCCCTTAGCTCTTCAGCTCAAGGGTAGTGCTCTACCACTTGAGCCACAGTGCTACTTCTGGCTTTTTCTGTTTATGTGGTGCTGAGGAATCGAACCCAGGGCCTCATGCATGCAAGGCAAGCACTCTACCACTGAGCCACCTTCCCAGCCCTGTGCTGGCTGTTTTTAAGGGAGGGTCTCACTCTATGCCCAGGCCAACCTGGGCTGTGATCCTTCTCAAAATCACTCAGAATGACTCTTTCCAGCTGTTGGGCTTCTCCTGTAGCTGGGATAAGCTGTTGTTTAAGATGGTATTTTACAAATGTTTATTCCCAGACTGGTCTTATACCAACATCCCCATTCTGTCCTTCTAAGTAGCCAGGATTACAACATCTTCAATCTCCCGTAAGTAGCCAGGATTACGGTCTTGAGTGACCAGGCCTAGCAATGAATATTCTCAATAGTGTCAAGAATGGTGAATCCTTTCTAAGATTTCAACTTGCTTTTGCTTGAATCCCTCAGAGGAATCTCTGTCCATAGCAGCTATGGCCTTACAAAATGTATTGTTTAAGTAATACAGTTTGACATTCAGAATTATTCCTTGATCCAAGGACTGCAGAATGGCTGTTATATTAGCAGGCATGAAAACATTAATTTAGAAAAAAAGAACATGAATCTTATACTTTCCCACTAGAGTTCATAGATGACCAGATACACTGCTAATGGTTGGTAATATTTTGGAAGGAATATTTTTTTCTGAGCAATATCTCTCAATAGAGGCTTAACCTACGCAGTACATCATGTCATAAACAGATGTGTTGCCATCTAATCTTTGTTGTTCCATTTATAGAACACAAGCAGAGTAGATTTGGAATCATTCTTTTTTTCCATTTCCTGGAGTTCATTTAGATAAATATTATTTATAGTCAGTTATAGGGCTTGAACTCAGGACCTGGATACTGTCTCTGAGCTCTTTTGCTCAAGGCTAGCACTGTACCACTTTGAGCCACAGCACCACTTCTGAATTTCTGGTGGTTTATTGGAGATAAGAGTCTCACAGAGGGCTGGGAAGGTGGCTCAGTGGTAGAGCGCTTGCCTTGCATGCTCGAGGCCCTGGGTTCAATTCCTCAGCACCACATAAGCAAAAAGAAAAAAGTCGGAAGTGGCGCTGTGGCTCAAGTGGTAGAGCGCTAGCCTTGAGCTGAAGAGCTGAGGGACAGCACTCAGGCCCAGAGTTCAGGCCCCACGGCCGGACTCAAAAAAAAAAAAAAAGAGTCTCACAGACTTTCCTACCCAGGCTGGCTTCAAACCATGATCCTCAGATCTCAGCCTCCTGAGTAGCTAGGATTACAGACATGAGCCACCAGTGACCAGCAAGATAAATATTATCTTATATGATCAGAGGCACATAGGCATTTTGTCTTTGTGTTCCTTCCCTAAGAGAATAATTCTTAAAACCTCCAGAATTTTCTTTAGCCAAAACTTAAGTCATAGGCATCCAAATCTGTGTTCCATTTTAGAAATGGAGGGAAAAGGCTAAAACAGAAAGTTGAAACCTGTCCTTATTTAAGTTCTATGCTTAACTATATAACATAATAGCAAATACTCATTGTGTAGTATAAAATAGTGAATAACTTCATTTTATGTACAGTACTGGGTGATCTTTTCTCCCTATAAATTGTAGTAATAGCTACATAAAACAAAACTTGCCATCTAGATTAACCATTGTAAGTATCCTTAGTGGATGAGCTTTGTCTCAGAGTATTTGTGTCTTCTCTGTTACAATAGCTCCAGTTTCTTAGCTTTGATTGACAAGCTAAATAAATACTGAAATTGAGACCACAACTGTTGCTATGAAACAAATAGCTCGTTGACAGCCTTACTCTCCTCTTCCCATCAGGCACCTGTCTCTGGAGTTGACTCCATTTGCTAGAATAAAGAAAGAATTACACAGTAAAAATTGTTTCCAGCCATTCCCACCAACTTCTTATCAACATTGAGGTCATCAGAAATTACAGAACCAGGATTAATGTACTGCTGTTGTTGTTCTCTTCAATGATGTAAACATTATTTTTCTCTGCTATTTACAGCTAATTGGCCTCACTCCCAACTTCATTGCCCATAATTGGAGGCTATTAGGTGGAGAAGTATTGTTTTTGTTTATGGGTCAGGTGAGGGGGAGGGTGTCTCAGCCTGATCATTATTGGTCATGTAGCTTTGTGTTTCTTACCTAATTCTCTGAACTCCAGTTTCCTCTGTCCATCTGGAAGATTTTTTCCTGTTCTCTGCTCTTAAGATCTTTTAAGAAATATGAGACAGCCAGGCATCAGTGGTTCATACTTGTAATCCTAGCTACTCAAGAGGCTGAGATCTGAGGATCTTGGTTCGAAGCTAGTCTGGGGCAGGGAAATCAATGAGACTTAACTCCAGTTAACCACCAAAAAGCCAGAAGTAGAGCTGTGGTGTAAGTGGTACAGCACTAGTCTTGAGCAAAAATGTTCAGGGACAGCGCCCACACCCTGAGTTTAAGCCTTAGAACTGGCCTTAGAACACACACACACAATATCTGGAGGATTCAACTTTTAGTTGGAGACTAATATTACAGTTTTAAAATGGAGTTTTAACAAAGATTTGTGCTTACTTTTTAGTGAAGCAGACCCTATGATTTGAAATGCTTCTTCTCTTGTAAAATAGTTCTCATTCTTAAACCCAGTGCTAATGGCTCATGTCTGTAATCCTAGCTACTAAGGAGGCTAAGATCTGAGGATCACTGTTTGAAGCCAGCCTGGGTAGGAAAGTCTGTGAGACTCTTATCTCCAATAAACCACCAGAAATTCAGAAGTGGTGCTGTGGTTCAAAGTGGTAGAGTGCTAGACTTGAGCAAAAGAGCTCAAGGACAGCACCCATGCCCTGAGTTCAAGCTCCATAACTGACAAAAAAATAATTCTTATTCTTGGATCCCAGCTTTTTGCCTGCTGTTGCTACCTGTAATCTGACAGTCACGAGGCATTTTCCTACCCACTTGCCCTCTCTGATGTCCACATATTAAAACAAAGCATAAGACTCTGGGACAGTGCCAATGTTGTAGGACTCCAAACTGAGTAGCTGTATGAGATTCTTAGAAAGGTCTTTACTTGGCTTAATGTTCTGATAATGCTGTTTTGAATTTCATGATCATTTTTGAACAAGGGGTTGATTTGGCACTAGGTCTTATAGATTATGTAGGTGGTTCTGCCTGGAAAATTCTTTCTAGAAAACACTCTGTCTCTATTTGCCTTTTTTTCCAGTCCTGGGGCTTGGACTCAGGGCCTGGGCTCTGTCCCTGAGCCTCTCTGTGCTCAAGGCTAGCACTTTGCCACTTAAGCCACAGTGACACTTCCAGCTTTTTCTGTTTATGTGATAATGAAGAAGCGAACCCAGAGCTTCATGCATTCTAGGCAAGCACTCTATCACTAAGCCACATTCCCAGCCCCTCTATTTGCATTTTTATTATTTTTGTAGGAAAAAATGAGTATATATTTGTACTCAAGAATGAAAATGAAGCCAGGCGCTGGTGGCTCACACCTGTAATCCTAGCTACTCAGGAGGTTGAGATCTGAGGATCGCAGTTCAAAGCCAGCCCAGACAGGAAAGTCTGAGACTAATCTCCAAAAAACTATCAAAAAAACCGCAAGTGGCGCTATGGCTCAAGTGGTATAGCACTAGCCTTGAGCTGAAGAGCTGAGGGAAAGTGCCCAGGCCCAGAGTTCAAGCCCCACAACCAAAAAAAAAAGAATGAAAATGAGAATTGTATTGTTTTCGAGAATGCAGTATGATGACTAAATTTCCCTTCTTTAGGAATCAGTGATTTTATTGTTGCATACACAGATCTTCTGAAGGGAAGGGCCGAGGACTTGAAACCAGATCCTTACCTTCGAAAGAGTCCCTCTCTGGAGTCACTGAGCAGACCTCCCTCCCTGGGCTTTGGGAGCACCAGACTGCTGAGCACTTCCACTGGGGGACTGAAGCCACCTAGCAAACTCAGGTAGGTACCATTGAAAATATCTTGCTCTTCCTTCATCCCTCAGTCCTACAAAGATTTTCTGAATGAAATGATTAAGATACACTACTTGCCTTAAACAAGTCTAGATGGAGGACACTAAAACTATGGTGTTGGGCAAGATGAGCTGAAGGGCTGTTCGGGGGGGAAAAAAAATGCATAGTGCATTGGGAGTGTTAGTTGGTTTTGGGAGCTGAAGAGAACTGACATTTCTGCCAGAGGATATAAAGCTGCCACCAGGAGAAAGCTGTGGAACTACACCTGGGCCTCAATAGGGCATACTGTGCTCTATTGCAAAGAGTCATCATTGCCAAGAAAGAAGTTCATACTTATTTTGGTGAAGCAGTGGAGAACCACTAAGTCTGTGGGATTGTGTTTTTGTTTTTGAATAGCAGTTAAGATCAGACCTGCTCTTTAAGGAAGATTAATGAGAACACAGTGGCATAGAAGGAGGATTATCGAGGCATTTTCAAGATGAGCATTTAAAGGGACTTTCGCAAGAATGTGAAGGATACAGAAGAGGGAGAGGGCAAGGAGGTCCAGGTGGGTGGTCTTTGTTCCCACACCTCTGCCCACCTCCTCACTGTCAGTGCCCTCCACTAGCCAGGCCCCAGCCAATAACCATCAGCTGCTTCCCTACTTCATTGTTCTACATGTTGTTCATCTTCTAAAGCACTTAAGTCAGAAATCTCTCAAGGCTGTCATCTACCTTCCCCATCTTGGCCTGTGCCACAAATTGATCATCCCTCCCTTCTTAACAGAATGGCCCAGCTCTTCACTCCAAGTCTCTGTTTATGAAATTGTCACTTGACCAGCCTTTCTTTTTTCCATTCCTACTCTTAAATACTGCTTCTCCTTCAAGGTCAAGCCTTCCTTAAAGTGCTAATCATCTAGGCAGCATAGATATCCTTTTCCCATTGGAGAGTTTAAATCCTGAGCTTATCTGTAGTGTAGATAAATTGCACATTATCCACCTTTGTCCCTATTCAGACTGTCATTTAGTGATTAGTAAATATTTTTTATCTTACCTTTGGGTATTTTTCCCATATCCCTGCCTTGTCCTATATGTATGACTCAGTGACTACTTATAAATGAGTAGATAGATAAATACACAAAACTAATACTTCAGAGGGAAAAAAAAGCTTTATAATAAATACTTTAATGATCCATATGTGTGTTATAAAAGGATTTATTAAAGTCTGAATAAGTTCAACTCCTATCTGGGGGTGTATCATGTTTAGATCCAACTAGATGATGTCATGTTTCAAAAGTTTCATTTAAAACCCAGATTATTTATATATATATCATCCTGTTTATTTGTAGGAGATTTAAATAACAAAAACAGGTATTAGGGCCAGAATTTGTAGGTCTTGAATTAATCTGGGAATGAATACAAAAAGGCTACATGTATATTTATATACTATTTGTTTGTATTTTGTTTTTATTTTTGTTTGCCATTCCTGGGGCTTGAATTCAGGGCCTGGGCACTGTCTCTGAGCTTCTTTTGCTCAAGGCTAGCATTCTACCACTTGAGCCACAGCACCACTTCTGGCTTTTTCTGTTTATGTGGTACAGAGGAATCAAACCCAGGGCGTCATGCATGTGAGGCAAGCACTCTACTACTAAGCCACATTCCGACCCCATTATATATGCTATTTGTATTATACTTTTTTTAATCAGGAATCATTAGTTGTTAAAATTAATTTCTTATTTCTACTTTATATTCATATAACTAAGATTAACCCATGGCAGGATATACATGTTTTATATTAGAAGTTCTTGTTTGTTTTAAAATTTCTTGGAAGGAGCAATCATATTCAGTTGGGTTTTTTTTTAAGAAAAGTGTTTTGTAAATGCTTTAGTCTTGCATAACTCTTCTAAGCTTTCATTTCAGTTCTCTAATTTGTCTAGTATAGAAAGCCAGTTCTGAGAGATGATATAACCTCATGTGTGGCCACCAGGGTTTTTTAATCACCAGTAACTCTGACCAAAGAACCTCATAGGCTTGACTTTACAGATCCTCCTGACACTTGAAAATGCAGTTACCAGATTGTATACAAAAAAATTTACTTCATGTTTGAACCATTTCTTGTAACATCTCTCTACCTGGTTCATATTGCTCAGATGTAGACTTATACTATTCCTCTTTTAAACCTCACTTTAGGACTGGGAAGATGGCTTAGTGGTAGAGTGCTTGTCTAGCATGCATGAAGCCCTGAGTTCGATTCCTTAGTACCACATACAAAGAAAAGGCCAGAATTGGTGTTGTGGCTCAAGTGGTAGAGTACAAGCCTTGAGCAAAAGAAGCTCAAGGAAAAGTGCCCAGGCCCTGATTTCAAGCCCCAGAAGTGGCCAAAAAAAGCAACAACAATTAAAAAAACTTACTTTAAAATATTTTTTACTATCGGATGGATACTGTAGAGATGTTTAAACCTTCTCTCTTAAGATTTGATCATTTGTCTATAAAATAAACTGGCAGTAGCTTAACAAGAGAAGATATTCATTAACATTCAAAAATACACAAAGCTTGAGTTTCAAAGAAAAGATCTGTAGTCAAAGCATTTCCTGAGGAAAAAGGAAAGCAGAGGCAGTAGGGCATATTAGATTGGTGATTATTTTCTGAACAGATGAACGGGCTCGTGAAGAACAGACAATAGTCTGGAACAAAGTCCTCAATCTGTAGATGTGATATTAGCTTTTCAGTCTCTCCTCCTGTGATGTAAGTTTAGTCTTCTCTAGTAGTGAAATGTGAGTCAGAAGACTGAAGACTGTGTTCCTCTAAAAGAGGAACACAAATAGAAATGGGAACTTTGCAGAAATCCCATCCCTTTACTAGGAGGAGAAGAAGCAGGGGACACCCGAAGGAGCTTTCTGTTAGCTTTTCACAACTAGAGCAGATACCTCTCCCCAAGCCTCTTAAGTTAAGAAGTGCAATTTAAAACCCAGTAAAATTGTTAACCAAAGAAGGAGGTAGTAAAGAGGAGGTGGTTAAGAAAGTAATATAAATGGAATGGATTTGATTTAAGGACTTTATATGCATATATGTAAATATCACAATAAAACCACTCTACAACTAATTTAGGATAATAAAAAAGCAGCACAATTTAGTTCTTAGGTCCATGAAATAATAAAATGTATTATATTACTTTTGGCAGTACTGAGGATTGAACTCAGTGCTTTTTAAACCTGCTAGGCAAATGTTTTTCCACTTGAGCCACACATACAGCCCTTAACGTGTATTATTAATGTAATTCATTTGGTTGTTTCTTTATCTAGACTTTATCTAGATAAAGACTTTATCTAGACTTGCTTTTCCTAATGTAGCTATTAATTTCCTAAACATTTGAACTGGCATTTTCTCTTTATCTATATCATTATTTTTTTCTAACCAGTGTGGAAAGAAGAGACCCTCTGGCAGCCTTGGCCCAGGAATATGGTGGCTCCAAGCGCAATGCCCTACTGAAATGGTGCCAGAAGAAGACAGAAGGTTATGCGGTAAGGGATAATGCAGCCAGCTGGGTAGCTGTAGTCCTGTATCAGAACACGTTCCATGTATGAGCATGTGGTCATCTTTCTACTCTTCCAGGCCTTAAAGATCTGTTTATTTTGTGCAAAAATTTTGGTTTGCTAGGGTAGTATAGAGGTTTAAAGGTTTTTATTATAAAATACCATACACAAAGATTAAAGTACATGAAGTATAAAGTTTTATGAGTATTATTAAATGAAAATCTACACAGTTATAAATCCCACATAGGAACAGAGTATTGCCAATTCCCCCGCACCTTCATATGACCTTCCAACCCTAAATACTATATCGTGTTTAAGAATCATTGTTTATCCCATGGTCATGAAGATATTGTCCTATTTCTTCTGGAAGCTTTCTCAGTCTACAATTCGCATTATACAGTTGCCCTATTTTGTTTCCATCTCCTAATTTCCAACTCTACTCAGATTCAGCCTTCCCATATATATATATACACCTCATCATGCTAAAATATATAGCACCATAGCACATCCTTCCTAAACTCAAACTCTTGAAAGTGACAAGGAAAGAGAAAGAAGCTAGCAAGAAACTAGGACTCCTCTGTATATCACTTTTGTAATAACAATTTAATTTTTTTAAGTTTATTAAAAAAAAGAAATTAGGGCTTAGCTAAAGCTCAAAGCAGAACTAAAATTGTTCTATCATAGTAACCATCTAATATGTAAATCAGTCTAAGAATTTAAATCTCTTATATTTTGGTACCTTCAGTATTACCTTCTCAAAAAAGAGCTGGAAAGCAAAACTAAAATTGTTCCATCACAGTAACCATCTAATATCTAAATCAGCCTAAGAATTTAAGTCTCTTGTATTTTGGTACCTTCAGCATTACCTGCTCAAAAAAGAGAAACAAAAAGTTAGTCATGTTTATAACCAGTAACAGAGGCTCCCTGAAGACATATATGTTTCTGGCCTTTTCTCTTTCCTTTTAGTGACTCTGCATTCTCTAAAACAACCCCATATTAAGGATCAAACTGTCATCAAAACAGAAGTCACCACAATAGCATCATTCCTCAGCTTGTCAGCCAAACTAGTGAAGAAATAGAAAGCAAAAAAAAGAGAGAAAAAGCTGATTATAGGAGCTTTTAGCTTCAAGGAAACAGAAGTGGTAATGGAAAATTGAAGAAAACAGTTTCAAGAAGAGCAGTCTGTCAGCAACAAAGCTTTGACTGTGGTTGAGCTGTGAGATGATCACTGATGTTTAGATGCTGTCATTTCTTCCCTGAAGAAATGGGTCCATGGTGCACTGGGTAAAAAAGCAAGATACTGGGCTGGGAAGGTGGCTTAGTGGTAGAGTACTTGCCTTACATACATGAGGTCTTGGGTTCAATTCTTCAGCACCACATAAGCAAAAAAATGCCGGAAGTGGTGCTGTGGCTCAAGTGGTAGAGCACTAGCCTTGAGCTGAAGTGCTGAGGGACAGTGCCCAGGCCCAGACTTCAGGCCCCATGACTGACATGGGCAACATAGAATTCCATAGCTGCTCACGTAGGTTCAACTGTTTACTTATTGTAGATAATAGTCCAGTGATGGTCTTTTCTTCTTCAGGTTATCAGTGTTTCCATTGGGTTCTACTTCTTTTATAGCTAAAATGCAGAGCCTCTTTAGTGCCAAGAGCTGTTTGGATATTTATGATATCTTTTGAGAGCCATTATCAGTACAAATGTAGGCCATGAACAGCCAGTGAGAAGCATACAAGAAGCACTAAGTGTCTGTCACATCAACTACCAAATGATTTCACAGGCCTTATATGACCTAGGGACAGATGGTCCCTACCCCTGTTTCAGCCTACAGATTCTTGCAACTTGAGATACATACTGATTAAGGAGCTCTTAGGCTGAGGTTCTCTGTGCTGCTCACACATTAGTCCATTTGGAAGGCTATGACAAAACAGCACAGTAAGTGCTTTGCAAACTGCTGAAAATGATTGCTCACAGGTCTTGGAGCTGGAAAGTCCAAGGTTAAGGCAGATTGGTGACTAGGGAAGGCCCATTTCCTAGTTCATAGGTAATGCCTTTTGCTTGTGTCATTGCATGGTAGAAGGGGTAAGGCAGTTTGGGGGCCTCTTTTATAAGGAAACAAATCCCATCAGAGGACCCAACTATTTTCCAAAGGCTCACTTCCTCAAGTCATCACAATGGTGATTTTAAGTTTCAGCAAAATAATTCAGGGAGAAAGAAGATACAAAAACTCAAGACCATAGCAGTCTTTTTTTGTTTGTTTGTTTTTGTTTTTTTAATATTGATGCCAGGATCCCTCCCCATGAAATCTTGAATCTTTAGTTCTAGTGATAAAGCCTAGACATTGGTATTTTTAAAGAGTTTCACTGTTATTATTAAGTAGTTGTACAAAGGGGTTACTATTGACATTGGTATTTTTTTAAAGTTCTTAAAGCTCTCCACATGGTGCAGATGTGTAATTTGCATCGAGAACCATGCCTGGTGGGCATGCTGAAATACTCCCATGATTTCTATTCCCAGGTGTTAACCCCATTTTGATGTTGTTTTATATAATAAAACATTTTATTCATGCATTTTAGGTTACTAATTAATGGACTCTAGGGTAGAAAGGTAACATAGTTAGGCCTGACCAAGTCATATGAGGGGTTTAGAAGAATTTTTCTCTGGTGGTGGCAGAAGAAAAAATCAGAGACTACAATTAAGAACATGGAGGGCTGGGTTGAAGATGGAGGAAACCATGTGGACAGGACGCAAAAGCCATTTCCAAGAGCTGAGCTAGACCAATGGCCAAAAGCTAGCAAGTCAATGGGAACCTTGATCTTATGACCACAAGAATCTGTCAGTCACCTCAATGAGTAAAGGAACAGTTCCTACCAAGGGCTTCCAGGTGAGGAAGACACTCCCTTGACACCTAGTATCAGCCTTGTAAGCACTTGTTCAGTCCATTTTCTGTTGCTATAACATACTAAAGACTAATGATAAATAAAAGTTAATTTGGTTTACTATGCTTGAATCTGGGAAGCTCCAGTGTATGGTGCTGCATCTAGCGAGGGCCTTCTGCTACATCATAACATGGCAGAGCCTGTCATAGGGTTAACAGAGTGAATGTACTGGCTCAGATCCCTCTACTTCTTATAAATACACTACTGGCATCGTAGGGACCCCACCCTCATGGCCTCATTTAGCCCTAAATGCCTTTCCAAGGCCCACCTCCAAATGCCACTGACATGAATTCAAGGACTCCATTTGTAACACATGTTCAAGCCAGAGCATACCCTAAATGATACACACAATCTTTGACCTACCTTGAGATGATAGTTTTAAATTTGTAAGTTTGTGGCAATTGACTATACCACAGAACAAAACTGATGCAATGACTTAGCTGAAAGCACTTCAAATACTTGACTACAATATTACTTTTTGCAAAAGTTTTGATTAAACACATGAACCAAGGGTCTCTAAAACTTTAAATTTTTCTGAGTAACATGCTATAAACCAAACACATGGCTTTACAAGGCAAATACTGTACCACTGAGTTATACCTAGTCTCAGAATCTAGCTTTTGAGGTATAGGAGAGCCCTACACCTAGCAATGGGTTGGAGATTTCTATTGAGGCCATTAACCAACCAGAGTTCAGGACATCACACGATCTCACAAATGGAGCCATAGTCTTATCCATGCAGTAGGGCAGTTGTGTCTTGTACTTAGATGTAGAATGTTGAGGTCTTAGATTTAGAGTGAATTTTACAGAGTCATTAGAGGTTATTCCAGGTCAAAGTGCTTCAGCTAAGAAAAAGCAGAAGGCAAAGCAAGCTGACTGTCCTCTACTAGGGTCTGAAGACCACAGAACAGAGGACCCTGTAACACTAACCCTGCAGCTTTACATCCCACAAGAAAAGCGAGATGCCTTGGCATTCTGTAGATATTGGCAATATCTCAGCACTGATACAGAATGCTAGCCTGTTCCAGTCAGCCCACAGATAACCTATAAGGATGAAGTTCATAGCTGGGTCTAGATTTTTCAGAGGTATTTTTAGAGGTATATTTTCAGAGGTATAGCATGCTTCATGCTATAACTAAGCCTCAAGATCCTGAAGCTCTCTAATAAGTAAGAAAAACCTGGACCTGACATACGTTACATATAAATATAGCTGTGTGATAATGGGTTATTTATCTCAAAACTCATTCATTTGCCACTTAAGTATACATTCACCTTCTTACATTCTGTATATTAACATATAAATGCTATTTCCTATCACAAACCTGTCTTATAAGCTTTTTTATCACAATATGCTGCATCTTTAATACAGAGAGACTGAAACAAAAATTTTGGAAAATGGTTGAATAGCTCAAGGAGTGACTGACTACTTCCAGGAAGTTCTGAATAGAATTACTGAAATTTATGATGAGTAACCAGAACTCCACAAGTTTAAATCAAGTAAGACCTTTGCCTACTTGTGTTTTTCTTAAGTGCCTTTGTAGACACTGGTTTATAAATATCCTCTAACATTCTCTTCTATATCTTTAGTAAAATAATTTAAACAAAGTGATTTAATAAGAAAGTTTCGTTGTCAACAAGGTAATTTCTTCCCAAATCACATCATCACACATCAATGTAGTTCACATTTTATCGTTAATTTTGACTAAAACTGAAAGTTTCAAGGACTAGCAGTCTATTCATAGGCACTGAGATTGAGTGTCTCACTAGAGGGTCTGGTTAAGGGTGTGGGAAGAGCAACTAGAAGCTGGACTGTAGCTCAGTGGTAGAATGTGTGCTTATCACACACAGGTGTGTGGGATCAGTCCCCAACAGGGATGAGCTCTGGATTAGGAGGGCCATCTGAGGAAGTGACCAAAGTGAGAGGAAGAGCTAGCCTCATGGAGATGGTGTGGAAGGAATTCAAAGCTGAGGAGCCATGCAGAGAACTTGAGCAGAAAGTGGCTAGGAGCTTGACATGCTGAAGGGGTAGAACAAAGGCTAGGGGTGACGGGA